AATAATAAATGAAAAAGACACCTCATCCACTTTTCTACCACGAACAAGTCTTTATTTTCACACAGCTCTCCGTGACGTAAATGCTACATGCTAATGAGTTCTATGTAGATTAAACGTCATGGCATGTTTTGTGTTTATCTGTGTTTTCTTCCCAGCTGGATTTCCTGATTTGATTTGACTCACACATCAGTGCGATTCAATTAGGAGCAACGCTGACTGGTTGTGACAGACCCAGTTACCACAGAAACCAGAACCGACAGACCAAACCTGCTGCCTGGGTTCTCCAGCGGCTCCGGCTCCCTCTAGTGGCCAAACTGAGGTAATCAGATATGTCACCACTTCATCAGCACAAATTCAAAAGAAGCATCAGGAACATTTGATTATTTTATTATTCCTTCAAAACTATGGTCGAGTTTTCTTCTGTTAAAATCTGTAACTATTATAACAAAGGTTGCTGGATGATGAATTGTCCCAGAAGTTATTGCAATAAACTATAATATTGTTGTTTTGAGACCATTTTTAAGCAATATAATGGTAATGGCATAATAATAATGGAAGAACTCACTAATGAATATTTAACACTAGAGCTGGAAGACATTTTAAATATCCAAAATAAACATAACAGCACAAACAACAAATAAAGTGAATTATAAAGTCTCTAAAAACTAAATTATTCTTCAAAAATTTAATTAGTTGAGAAAAAATCAGATGACTGAAGACTTTCATCATCCAGTTTTTGGTAGAAAGAGAAAACGATAAAACATGCAAATGCAATTGATTTATTGCTTAAGTGTGTAAGTGCATGCTCCAAACTACTTTCTAAAAACCTTTTTAAAGTTGGTAAATAAACAATAAAAACTAAATGTGAATCTTTCCTGTTTACGGTGTTAGAGGCTGGCTCCTCCCTCGACCGTGACAACATATTTCCTCCCTAACAGCGTCACAGGTTGCATTCTGGGCGTGAACTATCATCTACATGATCATGCAAAGCAGTTTCTGTTGAGAGGAAATGAAACTTACAGGGCTGTTCTGACTGAGTGGTGCAATGTCTTACAAGGGATTTCACCTGGACCGAAGGAAATACTCCTGTTCCATCTGTTTGGATCTACTGAGGCATCCGGTGACTATTCCCTGTGGACACAGCTACTGCATGGTCTGTATTCAATACTTCTGGGATGGAGAAGAGCAGAGGAGGATCCACAGCTGCCCTCAGTGCAGGAAAACATTCAGACCAAGGCCTGTCCTGGAGAAAAGCATCATGTTGGCAGAGTTGGTGGAGGATCTGAAGAAGACTGGACACCAAGCTGATCACTGCTATGCTGGACCTCAAGATGTGGCCTGTGATGTCTGCACTGGGAGGAAGATGAAAGCTGTCAAGTCCTGTTTATCCTGCCCAGCTTCCTACTGTAAGAATCACCTCCAGCCTCATTATGTTGCTGCACCTTTACAGAAACACATTCTGGCGAATCCCAGCAAGACTCTCCACCAAAACATCTGCTCTCGTCACGATGAGGTGATGAAGATCTTCTGTCGTACTGATCAGCAGTTTATCTGTTATCTCTGCTTACTGGATGAACATAGAGTCACTGAAGTGAGTGTCTTCCTGCCACAACCAGAACCAAAGAACAGAGCTGGATTCTTAAAGTATTCATGTAGAATCAGACTTCATCCAAACACAGCAAACAAATACATGTCATTGTCTGATGGGAACAGAAAAGTGACATTAATGAATCATCGGCTGTCTTATCCTGATCATCCGGAAAGATTCACTGACTGGTTCCAGGTCCTGAGCAGAGAGAGTCTGACTGGACGTTGCTACTGGGAGGTGAAGAGGAGAGGAAGAGGAGTTGATGTTGCAGTTTCATACAGGAACATCAGCAGAGCAGGGAAATCCAACAAATGCGCCTTTGGGTTCAATGAGAACTCCTGGTCAATATCGTGTCAAAAAACGGGTTATACTTTCTGGCACGATGGAGTTGAAACTCAGGTACCAGGTCCAGTTTCCTCCAGAATAGGAGTGTACCTGGACCACAGAGCAGGTATTCTGTCTTTCTACAGCGTCTCTGGTACCATGACTCTTCTCCACAGAGTCCAGACCAGATTCACTCAGCCGCTACAGGCTGGGATTCAGTTCTATTACTACCTAAATTCCTACCGAGGAGGCGACTCTGCTGAGTTCATAAAACTGAATTAGTTTGCTGAAAATCGCAATTTCAGTCACCACAGTTTTCACCATTACTGAACTTTGAACAATGCCACCATTGCTCAAAGTTAAACTTTTAAACACACTTCATATTAAGAACTTTACCAAGTTTATTTGTTTTGGTTTATTTACTTTTAAAGGACGGGGTGTTCAGGCAACCTGTGTAATGAATTTAACAAAAACAAAATGCAAAATGTTTAATTTGACTGTTAAATTGATGTAAAGTCTTTTTACTCACATGTTAAGTTACAGAAGTAAAGTTGACTTGTCCTGATAAAAATGTCCATGGTTCATATTATTGCTGGAGTATTTGGGCCAAGATAAGAAAATAAAACATAAATAAATAGAATTACAAGAATAAAGTCATATTATTCGGGGAATAAAGTTAAAAAATAAAGTCACAATTTTGATTTTTTTCTCAAAAAATAACTTCTCATATTATTATGACCTTATTCTTGTAATATTATGACTCTGATCGTAGGTTGTTTCTACTGTATTTTTATTTTTAATACATTTGCAGGACACTCAAGAACAATTTCCCACATTATCTTAAAGGTGTATTTATGTGTTTAACTTTGAGAAAAGAGATTAATTTAATAGTTTGGCACTCTAGTTCATCTGGATTAGAGAATAAGAGCTGTGAACCGATTCTCTGTTGATCTGGGATTGTTAATTTTAATGTAGTTTATGTTTCACTCATAAACAAGAGTCACATTTTTGGTTTGACAACATTTATTTCACAGTCAAAAAACAAATCCACAGGAATTGTTGGCACAAGGGTTCCACTCCAAACCCAGTTTCAGTTCCTCATTAAAGCAACTTTAAATATTGGCAACCTGAAATATCCCAGCCCAATCATAACCAGTGGGAAGCCGATCGGTTGAACCCGTCGGTCTTCCAAACAAGCAGCTCAGTCTCCGTCTTCTTTCCTCTGATCCTGAGAGTCCCGGATCGGCCGCATCGGATCACCTGATGGTGCGGTACATCATGAAGTCCACCGTGGTGCATCGTGGGAACTTGCCGATGGAGCTCTCCTCCACGGGCGTGTAAACCTTGATCTGCCTCATGTGCGTGTCTCTGCCGTTCTGATGGTTGGCGAGCACGGCGATCTGGATCATGAAGGTACTGATTGGTTCGTTTGTTCGCTGAAAAAAAACACAGAAATGAAAAGTTAGACACGGAAAAAAAGCTCAGAATAAACAACATGAAAATGAAAACAGAAAAACTTCAGGGATGCTTTAAATTTGCACCATAATCAAAAAAAAAAAAAAAAAAAAAAAAAAAATTTTTTGCTGGGGAAAAAAACCGCCCCCGGGGGGGGAAACCCAGAACTACATATGTGTGAAGTCAGGAGGAAATAAAATGCAGTTTTCAGGTATTTAAGATATAAATAAACAGATAATTTATGGAAATTAACATTTAAAATTCAGGGTTTGCTTTGTGCAAATAAACATTAGGACCATACTTAAAAATAAGAAGATAAAATGAGGAGAATTAAGTTCAAATAACATGATGTTAAAATCATAATATTTTGAGAATAATGTAATATTACGAGAATAAAGTCATAAAGTTACAAGAATAAAGTTGTAATATTTTGCTTTTTTTTCTCTTGTTAATTCAACTTTACTCTCATACAACTTTATTCTCATAATTTATCTTTTTATTTGTCCTAATGTGACTAATATTTTGTCGCAGTTTTGGACTGAAAAGCTAAAAACAACCTTTCAACCCTTGGAAAAATAAAAACATGTTTCAGATCAGGCAGAAAAAAAAAGCTAAGTTTTGCACCGCTTCCTGTTTTCACTGAATCCAAAAACAGAATCTTGATATTTTTACCTGATTTAGTAGAGAGATGTGAATCCAGCCGCTGGGCTCCACCATCTCCAGCTGCTGCAGAGACGAAGATGAAACAATCAGACGGGTTTAACGTCCAGCAGCAGTGAGCCGCAGAAACACCGACTTACCCTGATCTCTTGAAGGTTGTGGAAATTGTTGCCCACTCTCACAGAGATTTTACTGGGCGTGTAACTTTCATCTGATTTATAATCGGCGTAAATACACAACATCTTCACCGTCGTCCTCCTCCTGCAGACGACCAATCAGAGACAAATATATGACACAGAAATCAGAAACGTAACAAACGATAACAATAAAACCTCAAAACTCTGCTCTAAAATCTGCTTTACTCTAAAATTTTGAATATCCAGAAGTTAAAAACCGCTTGTAGCTTCTGCTGTTCATATCAAGTAAAATCAAACCTACACATTTTTGTAATTCTTGTGCTACTAATTTAGAGCAGTATGCCACACTTTTCAGACTGTTACTGATAAAATCGCATATCTTTTCTCATCAGTTCACAATTGTGACCTACTTTTAGTTGAACTAACACAAATAAATCCCAATATACTATATAGAAGTTTCAATGTGACAAAGTTTGAAACGTTATTGTATGTGAATACCATTTTAAGAAACTTTAGATTTAAAAGATCGAAAGAAATGATTCATTAATGGCTCAGTAACCAATATTTCATATTATAATAATCAAATCTTAGTCTAATTGTTCTTTTCTTATCGTTTTCCTTCTGGCTAGATAAAAATTTTGACGACTTATGTAGAGATTAAAAGAAAAGCTACAAACTGTAGTTCAGAGTAAAGTACTGACAGTGAAGAATTCAGATTATTTATATGTATAATGTACATCCAACATGATTTTTAGCAGATGTTTAACAATTTAAAACATAAATAGGGGAAGAACTCGGTCTATATAAGAATGAATCTGAAGTAAGAAGGGACCCGATGTGATTCAGAAGGTTTTTTCCAGAAATACCTGAACTGAATGTTGACCAGGTGCGGCTGGGATCCATCTGACTGCCAGTAGGTCTCCAGGTTGTCATCCCTCAGCTGATCCACTCCAAACCCTGCGCACAGGACGCGTGTTTTCCACCGACACCCCTCTAAATGTGTGTTTCTGTAGATCCGGTGCAGCGGTTCCTACCTGGTTTACAGGAGGACAGCGACCACACCGCCTGGGAGCCGATCTCCCGGACCGTCCCGGTCCGCTCAAGCTGCTTCGGGTCAGCACCGGGTGGGGTCTTGCTCGGGGTGGCCATCCTGCAACTATGGAGACCGAATACAAGCGATATTTAGTTGAGTTTTGCTCTAATACGCAAAGCGAAAAACTGATTTCTTGTACAAATTTTAAAACTTATTTACACAAACTACTATAAGCTCATTAGATGATCAGTTTCGGGATCTGAATAAGTTTGTTCGGACATTGCGAAAAACTCGGCAAGCCA